CTTCTTCTTCTTCTTCTTCTTCTTCTTCTTCTTCTTCTTCTTCTTCTTCTTCTTCTTCTTCTTCTTCTTCTTCTTCTTCTTCTCTCCAGTGGAGATCAGCCGCTGCCCCCAAGCCAGAGATGATGCACTCCTCTCTGGGCCACCTGACTCCAGGGCAGTAACCTACCAGGAGATTTTCTGGGAAGTTAAGAGGCCGGTATGCCCTGCACGAGAGGACTGCTGTCTCCACCACACCCCAGGAGTCTTTGGCTTGGGCAGAGACTTTTGACTGATCACTGTTGGAGGCAGCGTCCTCAGCTAGAAAGATAGTGATAAGAACACCAGAAGAGCCCTGCTGGATCAGACCAGTGAGGGTCCATCTAGTCCAGCATCCCGTCTCACACAGTGGCCAGCCAGTTCCTCTGGAGGGCCAGCAACAGGGCAGGGAGGCCAATTTATCTATCCTCTTCTTTTGTAGTGGTTAAGTGCGCAGACTCCAATATGGGAGAACCGGGTTTGATTCCCCACTCCTCCACTCGCACCCGCTGGATGACCTTGGGCAAGCCATAGTTCTGATAAGAGCTGTTCTTGAAAAAAGAGCGTGAGCGGTTTCTGTCAAGAGCTCTCTCAGCCCCACCTACCTCACAGGGTGTCTGTTGTGGGGAGGGGAAGGGGAAGGAATTTGTAAGCCGCTCTGAGACACCTTTGGGTAGTGAAAGGCGGGGTATAAGCCCAATCTCCTCCTCCTCCTTCTCTTCTTCTTCACCTCATTTAGCAGTCTCAACAGGTATTATAGACCTACTGTACGGACAGCATGTAGTGGAAAGTGTCACTCTTTAGACTTTTTAGATTAGACTCTAAGCTCTCATGCCATATAGTTTGACTTGTAAGACATTGGAAAACAGCGCCCTTAGACTATACTATATAGAGCTATATTTATTTGTATGTATAAAATAATACATGCAGGCTATATGTGCACACCTATCCTGTTGTTAATCTTGTTGTTAATGTAAAATGAATAAAA